GCTCCGTATCGCTGCAGAGTTCTGAGCTCAGGGCTCAGTCTCCGAGTCGCCTTCCTGGTGTATAAAATGCGTTGCCCCATGAGCGTTAACTGGGAATGTGTGACAGACACCTAGCCCAGGGCCTGGTTCACAGCAGGAGCCTCAGGGGAGGAAATGAGATCGTCAGGGCTGGGGCCCGACCTAGGACTCCCCAGTCTCAGGCACAAGCAGCAGGAGAGCGCAGTGTCACGGCTGGGACTGACCAAGGGGGTCACGGGCCTGGCTAGAATCCAGGCAGGGTGAAGGGACAGGAAGTGTTGTGGCAGGAAGAGCGTTGGGAGGCCTGCTGGGACACCCCGGGGCCCGGAGAGGACAGGGATTTTGCTCCCCAGACGCACAGCAAGTGTGCAGCCGAGGCCAGACTCCAGCTCGGCTCTGCCTGTCAGTCCAGTGAGTGAGAAGCAATCGCTGGCCCCCAAGGGGCTGGGAAGCTGGGCAACCAGAGAGAGAACCCCGACTGGGGTGGGGCCCTGGGACTTTCTGCCTTGACAAACCCAGAACAAGGGCCCTAGGTTGCGGCCTGAGCAAGCTGGGGAAGGGGAGGTTCCTGCTGTCCCTCCCATCACCTTTCAAGAGTCTCACCCTCTGCTTTGCTCTCTCATTGCTGATTTCTTCATGTCTTACCCCCAAGCTGTAAAATGCTTAAGGTATTTATTAAAGAACATTTGGAGTTTCTTTCTTTTTTTTTTTTAAGTTGTGGTAAAGTGTACAGTTCAGTGGCATTTTAAGTACATTCACGTTGGGTCAACCATCACCACCATCCAGCTCCAGAACTTCTTTGTCTTCCCAAACTGAGTTAGAAAGGAGTGGGGGAGGGGCGCCTGGGTGGCTCAGTCGGTTAAGCCTCTGCCTTCAGCTCAGGTCATGACCCCAGGGTTCTGGGTTAGGGCCCCGCATCGGGCTCCCTGCTCAGCGGGGAGCCTGCTTCTCCCTCTCCCACTCCCCCTGCTTGTGTTCCTGCTCTCACTATCTCTCTCTCTGTCAAAAAATAAATAAAATCTTTAAAAAAAAAAAAAGGAGTGGGGGAGGGGAAGTCTGAGAGTCCCGTTTGGGCCCCATCTTTGGCCTGGTCTCTTGCCCACACACAAGCCTCTTGTGGCCCAGGGCAGCACAGAGAAGTCAGGTTGGCTCAGGGACTGTCCCTACCTTGGGGTAAGGGTGAGAAGGTTGCAGTCAGGCCCAGATCATAGCTCATCTACTCCTGGGGTGTCCGGGTCCAGGAGGCAGTACCAGGAGGCTGGAAGTCAGAGCAGGCTGGGCCATTCTCTGGGCCAAGCGTGTCTCCAACACGGTCAGGACCACAGCAGGAAGCTTCGCCTTCTTCCTGCTCAGAAAAGCCCACTCCTTGCCTCCACGCTCAGCATTCCTCTGTTACCTCATGCGCTGGCTTCGAGGTACCACCCGAGGCCTAGAAGGCAGGGGGTGGGAGGAAGGGGCTGAATCCGATTTGAATGTCAGCCGTGTCCCCCGCTCATTGTGACAACCACTAGCACCCCGTGTGTTTCTAGCAGTATCCTGGGGATCAGGAGGCCTGCGTAGGCCTCCTCTTCCACCTCAGCTCATCTGGAAAAGGGGACAGTAATGCTTGTGGTTAGTCTAGTCGCCATGGCCCACAGCGGGGCTCAGCAAATGTGCTTCCTTCGCTTTGGAAGGGGGAACTCTTGAGGCAGAGAGACACGAGGCTCTCAGTCCTTGAGGTGCAGCTGTGAGGCCGGGAACAAATCCCGAGTCTCAGCTGGGATCTTGAGTGCATCATTCTTCTCCAGTCTCTTGCCCCACCAACCCAAGCTTTTCGAGGACTCCACCCGCTCTGTACTTTGAAGCTTGTTGAAATTTGCAGACCTGATGATACACGGTCCGAGGCCACAAGGGGGCAACAGTGGGCCACGAATGGCCTTGTCTCGCCAGGAGAGCTCGGAGGTCTGGGGAAGACGGTGCATGTGGTTGCCACCCCCAGGAGGATCAGCCGGCCGATCACCCAGCATCTGGACACTGCCTAGCCAACTCCATGCCCTGCCAAACAATTTGGAAGGACCAACTGGAGGCTATCCAAGAACCTGGGCCCAGTCTGCCTGTCACCCTGTCTTGGCTGTACATCCCTGGGCAGGTGATGAACTGCTGAAGAACCTCAGTTCCCTCATATGTAAAGTGGAAACAGGGACACGCATCACATAGGCCCTGTCCTTCACAGGACTGGTTATAGAATCCAGTGAGGCACCTGGGTGGAGGGAAGAGCGGATTACAAATTGTCGAGGACATTCGATCTGTGAGGTTCTGCTGGGGCTCCAAAGGATGCTTGATGCTTGACCCAGTGACCTCCGTCGGGCCCCCGAGCCCCACTGTGCTTCTGTCCCTGTCCACAATCCTGACTTCCCCAGTGAGCCCCACAACCACCCAGCTGAGCCCATTACTCCCAGAATGGTAAGAGAGAAATATTGTTGTTTCAAGGTAAGCTCTGGGGTGATATGCAGCATTCATTGGTCATCGGATCGGGGGGCATATGGGGACTCCGTGATATGAGTGAGTGGACACAGGCCTCCGACGGTAGATGGCAGGGCCAGGCCTTGGGTCTTTTTTTTTTTTTTTTAAGATTTTATTTATTTATTTAATAGAAAGAGAGAGAGACAGGGAGAGAGGGAACACAAGCAGGGGGAGTGGGAGAGGGAGAAGCAGGCTTCCCGCCGAGCAGGGAGCCCGACACGGGGCTCAATCCCAGGACCCCGGGATCATGACCTGAGCCGAAGGCAGTCGCTTAACCAACTGAGCCACCCAGGCACCCCGGGTCTGTCTCTCTAACTCCAAACCCTCTCTTTGCCCTGACCCTGAACAATCCTCTGGTTTGTTCCTCTGGTTTCTGGGGTGGCTCTGACCCAGGGAGTGTCCCCCTTGTCCCTCCCCACCCAGAGGTGCTCGGGGCAGTGTGCAAGGACAGGCACACCCAGACACACATTGGGGTTTATTACACACAGTGATATCCATCTATACAGAGAAGGGAGGCAAGCCGCTGGGCTGGAGGTGGCAGCTGGGGACTCTTGTCAGAGATGGGGAAGCCTCTTTCCAGAGCACTGGTGGCTGGGTCTCCGACCCTCCTGCTCAGGCTGGCCCGGAACCAGCCCCGAGGCCCTCTTCGTCTGCACAGCTCATCCAAAGGACCAGTTTTGGCAGGCTGGCCAGAGTCCTCTCCCGTGGGAGAGTTGGGGCCAGTGAGACCCAAACTCTGAGCTGCTGGCCAGTCTCCTTGGGCTGGCAAAGTCCCATCATGACCCTCTTCTGGGCGCTGCAAGATACCCGGGAGGCATCAGCCCCTCCCGTCTGGGACCTGCCGTCCTCCGCACTCCGGGAGCATGAGGCTTCTTTGCAGCTGGGTCCTCAGGCGGTGGTCAGAGTGCTTGGCCTCTCCTCCGGGCCAGAGGACACGTGTTCTCACGGAGGCCTCCTGAACTCGGTGGGAGCTAGAGCCCCTGGGGGCTGGGCAGGAATCTCGTCCTGCCCAGGGGAACCCGGGACCCAGAGGGGTGGGCAGCTGACTGTGGCTGAGTCCAGAGGCCAGAGAGGCTGGGACAGCTGCATTTACTGTCCAAGCTCTGGGTCTTTCTGGATGGAGCCGGCCCCAGGGCTCTGGAGCTTTGGGGGTGGGGTGGGAGGCTAAGTCTCTCTGCTAATCAGGTGGCTGAGGGCCCAACCCAGCATCTCTGCAGCCTCTCCTGAGCCAGGCGCTTTCACCTTCATCTCCTTCCTGGGAAAGCCAAGTCCCACGGCTGTCCCCGCACGAGGACACAATTCCCCTGGACTGGATTGTCCGCTTTCCCGCCAGCTTCCAATGCTGATCATTCTGGGACTGGGCCACCACGCACCCTCTTGAATGTTATAAGGACACAGGGGGTGTATCCCGTGAAAAAAGATCAATATATTACTGTTTTTTGTTTTTGTTTTTGTTTTTTTTACAAAAATTAAAAACGTCCACACGCCTCTGTACAGGTTGTGAGCTGGGTGCGGGGGTCACTGGAAGAGAAGGGAGAGACCGAAGGTGAGCAAGGAGGCCCCAGAGGCCCCCCCGCCCTGGTCTGGGCATCCTGCCCTGCCCATTTCTTCCAGAACACGCGTGTCCCCAGTCCTCTCACCCCCGGCTCAGGGCTTCTGCCTCCTCTCAGTGGGGCAGTTTGGACAAAATCCCAGGCTTTGTCCTGGCTGGGCCAGGCACTGAGTGAGCCCTGAATGACCACCAGGGTGGGCTGTGCCCAATCACCCAGGACCACGGCCCCAAGCCTTGAGCCACCTGATGGGAGAGTCAAAACTAGGGTCATGTCATCATGGGGCAACCCAGCTATTCAGGTGCTGTTGGGGAGCTGCAGATACCAGCCCCTGGAGGCCCCCTCGATGTCCCCCTCCTCCCAGCCTGCCCTAGAGACTCTTCCCTGCAAGGTACCTTATGCCAACAGCCGGGCACGGGCAGCCCATCGGGGCCCTGGAAAAGAAAAAGGTTTCAGTGATGGGGCTGGGGGACTGGTCAGCTCCCTGCACTCCATACATTCTTGCCCTGGGTGGTGGGAGACATAGCCCCAGGAGCTGCCACGTGGGCCAATGGACCCCACCGAGGCAGGGCCCGAATGCTTGTCCACCTGGGTAGTCAGGTCACGAGACAGGCGGGCCTCTCACTGCGCTCGCTCGGAGTGCGTCCCTGTGGGGCTTTGTTTGTTGGGCCACCCGAGCAGGGGACAGAACCGGGGCACCGTGGAGGATCGGGGACTGTGCTGGAATCTGCTGGCCAGATCGAAGCTCCTGATGCTGGCTCTGGCCCCTCACGCGGGGGCCTGACAGCTCTCGGGAGTTTCTTCAAGAGCGTTTGAAGGATAGTCCAGGAAGTGGCCCCTGTGTCTGGGTTGGAGGGGCAGACAGGGCAGCTTGAGGCTCTCAGGGTAGAGAGCGGGGTGGGGGCTGGGGCACCAGCAAAGCCAATGCTGGCTCAGCACTCAGACACAAAGTGGGGTGGGGTGGGTGCCCCAGGCAGCCCGGAGGGCGGGGAGCTGGAAAGGGGCCATGGCTGACCCGTCAGTCAGCCTAAAGTCCCTGGGGAACCCCGGCACGGAAAACACTTCACTCTGGAGGCACCCACGGGAGCACAGCCCCCGGAACTGCCGTGGCCCCACCAAAGGGAAGGGGGGAGGAGAGGCCGGAAGGAAAGGAAGGCAGGATAGAGGAGAGGGGGGGTCAGAGTGGTGGGCACAGGTGCCCGGAATGCCCTGCCCTGCCCAGCCCCGCCCCGCCCAGCCCAGCACACAGCACACAGCAGGCCACATCTCATACCGCAGGGCAGGGCCCCCCGGAGCCCGGCGCCCCTCGTTTGCCTCCACATTTGGGATTCTCCTGTTTCAAAGACAAAGGCTGAATGACTTGGACGGAAGTCTCTGCCCAGGGCCTGGAGCTGCGAGGCTGGGCCCCCCCGCCCCCGCGTCCCCCTGGTGTCCCTGCACTTTGTGTGTATGCCTACCACTCTGCTCTTCTTGTCTTTTTCTCATTCACCCCTCAAGCCATCTGGGGGTAGGGATGAGCACCCTTACGGCATGGATGAGAAGACTGAAGAACCGAGGACCGGGCCTCTGGGATCCCTCACCCCGATCCCCCTTTGGAAGGCGGCCGGCATGCATTCGGGCTGGGGATGGCCGGGGATGGCTATCTGCTTGGTCTTAGTCTGGAAACGCCCTGCTTTGCTGAGCTCCACGTCAGAGTCTGATGTGTGAACCCTCCCAGCCCTGCGGGGAAGGGAAGTGAAGTGTGGTTCCTTCAGGCCTGCGGTCTGGTGGGCTGCCAGGAGCTGATGTGCGAGAAAAGGAAAGGAGGAAGGTGTGGGGAGCAGGGAGGGATTCTGGGGCATGCAGAGGAGGTGCAGGGGCCAGGTGGGGCCACCCACACCAGCCAAAGCCTTCTAACCCCCTTTAGGGCCAAGGAAGCTGAGAAAAGAGGGGCGGTGACGCTGGCAAGGACTCTGCCCCGGGGAGGGGGGTGGGTCCCCCTGAGCCATGCCCCTGGAGGGGAGTCAGGACCAGAGCGAGGGGAGCCTCCATGATGGCAGGGACAGCCATGGTAGTCTCTCGGGACTTGCAAGTGAGCTCTGAGGACAGAGAAGACACAGGCCCGAGGCGGCGAAGACCTGGGGTGGGGCTCCCCCTCTGCTCCGACACGTACCACAGGACATGGCTGGTCCAGGCCCGGCGGTCCCGGCTCACCCTTCTGGCCCTTCACGCCTTTCCGGCCCGGGACGCCTCGCTCCCCCTGCACAAGGAGAGAGATGGGGGGATGGCCATGGCTGCCAGGCCCAGGACCCCTTTTCCACTTCTCAGAGGGATGGGCCTCCAGCTGGCAGCCACCCCTGTCGTGCTGCACCCGCCTCCAACCTCCCCCTGCCCTGGCTCCTTTCCTGCTCCCCCCCCTTCTCTCCACCTGCTCCCCACCTTCTCTCCACGTTCGCTCCGGTCACCTTTCTCTCCTCGGGGTCCAGGGAACCCCTGGCCAAAGGAATAAAATGAGGTTTGAGGTTTGCTCTTGCTCTCCATTCATCTCCGTGCCCCTCCCATCCGTCACTGCCCCGCCCCCACGCCTACTGGCGGCACAAACTGGGCCCGCTCCAGCTCCTAGGTGACACGTAGGCTGGGTGCAAGGCTGGTTTAGAGACAAGCATGCATTCAGGACACCAGCGCTGCTTCCTCTACGGGAGAACAGCGCCGGTGTCTCTGGACAGACGCCCTCAGGCAGAGCGGCCGGCCAGGGGCTTTCTCTCGCGTCCCGGCGCCAAGCAGCTGGTGCTGACCCGAGCGTGGCTAGGGACAGAGACCCAGGAAACTCGGGGATATCTGTGTTACTGTCTTTGCCAGACTAAGAAATCGTGACCTCCCTTCTCTGCCTCTGGCTTAATCTCTTATGCCCCCACCCACCCATCCATCCAGCTGTCCATTCGTCTGTTTGTTCATCCACTCATGCAACCAACATTTCTAAGCATCCACCAGGAACCGCGTTGTGGGCTGGATACCGAAGACAGAGAAACGGATTTGATGGGTCTCTCCTCTCCCCCTTTTTACTTTCTGTGTCTGAGGATGTTTTGACATCATGAACTTGCTGGCCAGGGACAGGCTGCCCCGCCCTCATGCCCGCTCTTAGGGGTAGCAAAGGGCCGGCCTGGGAGCACGTTCCGTATGTAAACCAACAATTCTCCCCGTCACCCCCTTTATCTGCCTCTCACGCACAAGATGATACGTCCCTTGTCCAAAATCATCCCCAGGCAGGGTACCAAGATGCCACGGGCCACCCCTCCAGCCCGGAGCCCGCCTGCATCGTTCATACTTGCCCATCTTCAACTGTTTCCTGTGCCCCGCCTGCCTTCCCCGAGGAAACCCCCATAAAAGCTCTGCCCCCCACCCCTTTCTTTCCCCCCACCAAACCTGGTGCTTCCCCACGGGGCCCTGCATAGCAAGGTGAGCCCTTCCCTCGGGAGCCCTAAGTAACCCCCCCTTCCTTCAATGGCACTGACCTCTCTGGGTCGTCACTCGGTCACCTCCGTAAATTAAAACCCCACAGGAACAGATAGGACACCTCCCTCACGGTCTAACATGACAGGCAAGAGGGCAGAGAAGCTGGTGGTCGATGCTCAGTGGCACGGGATGAACCAGACGCCACGGGGTCCCGGGAACAGGGGCTGTTCTAGCCGGGTCTGTGGTCAGGGAGGCTGAGCAGAATCCCCATGGCAGCCGGGCCTGGTGGAGTGGGTGCGGGGCTGGAGGCTTGCCAGCTAGAGCAGGTGGGCATGGCTTTGAGATGCTGCTCTGAGCCATGAAGGCCGCCGAGGCCACACTCTGGACCTCCCTGGGTCCAGAGGGTGAACAGGATTCAGCACTGGCTTCTTCTCTGGACCGTCTCAGGGATGGACCACCATCCTCCCAGTCAGAAACTCTGTGTGTCTGCAGTTGCTCTCCAAGGGGACATTCTCTCCTCCAAGTCCAGGGTGGACACCAGAGTCCCTGCAGCCCTGATTCTGGTCAGGGAGCACGTGATCAGGCCCGGCCAACTAGGGCACTGCCTTTCTTACGGCCAAGTTGATGTTTCAGCATTGACCCAACTGGGGCCAGTGAGAATTGATGAGTCTTTTCTAAAAGGAGAGTGAAGCACATAGTCTTTCTCCAGGGTTTGGGTCTGGGAGGATGTGGGTCTGAGGCTACTGCCTCCATCCCATCACCACACCTAACTTGAAATGATTCCCCCACAGCAGAAGCACAGATAATAAGCTTGAAAGGCTGGGTTGTGTGGATTGTGCGTTTTTGGTTGTGAAAAAAATCCCTCTGGATTTTTCAGTGAGGAGTCAGTTTAAGCCAGTTTGAACTGTTTTCTGTTGCTGGCAACCCAAAGACACTTGATCCAATCAACTTTGGGCTAATATTTCCTCTCCTCTCCTTCCCACAGTAATGCCCTAGCTGAAGCTTCATTATCTCTCACCGGGATATTGCAACACTGCTCTCCTCACCTTCCTGTTCCAATGCATCATCCTTCCATCCAGTTATCCATCATCCATTCACCCATCATCCATCTACCCATCTTCCATCCACCCATCATCCATCACCCATTTTCCATCCATCACCCATCCACCCATCATCCATCCACCCATCTTCCATCCATATTCATCCATCATTCATCTATCCATCATCCATCCACCCATCATCCATCTACCCATCTTCTATCCACCCATCATTCATCCTTCTGCCCATCCATCATCCATCCACCCATCTTCCATTCATCCACCATCTATCCACCCATCTTCCATCCACCCATCATCCATCTACCCATCTTCCATCCACCCATCAATCATCACCCATTTTCCATCCATCACCCATTCACCCATCATCGATCCACCCATCTTCCATCCATCCATCCACCATCCATCCACCCATCTTCCTTTTATTTTTTTAAAGATTTTATTTATTTATTTGACACAGAGAGAGACAGCGAGAGCGGGAACACAAACAGGGGGAGTGGGAGAGGGAGAAGCGGGCTTCCCGCGGAGCAGGGAGCCCAATGTGGGGCTCGATTCCAGGACCCTGGGATCATGACCTGAGCCGAAGGCAGACACCCAACGACTGAGCCACCCAGGCGCCCCC